AACAGTCCATGACTCCATTAGGATTTTTCCTTCGCATGTTTTACTACCTTGGCAGCCTCGTAGAGCCTTAGAGACCTCTTCATTGGACGAGATGTCTTACGGCTATCCCCTCACTGCCGTGGGTGGCAGTGGAGATTATGTCTGGAGTGACTTGACTCCTCTGCCCCTCGAAAGTTCTGATCTAAAAGGGCCTTTTTTAGATCAGCATAGCGACACAGCTGATGATTTCATCACTTCCTCGAGTCATATCGCTTCTGTTAATCAACGTGGTGAAGTAATAAGTTTGGTAAGTTTTTGTCTTAAAAAATTTTACTTATGAATACTTAAAAGTCGTTCCCTGTGATAGTAATTACATTCTTTGCTTTCCTTATTTGAGCATTTTTTAAGGCTAGGCCCCTGCTTCACCAATGAGGGGTTAAATATTTTGTGACCTGCCTTGTCGCATCGTAGGTCTTTTCATCTCATTTGTCCTACTATAAAATCATTTTTCATTTAATATTTTCTCCGTTATTATATATTTTAGTTAGGATATTCCATAATTTTAGTTCTCTTATCTTTCTAAACCCTTGTTAAATTGAGCTCCGCTATCTTTTATTTACGTCTACAATAAATATCCGCATGCTCCTGGATTCACATCACTAGCTGTTTTATTTCTGTGCTTTGTTATATATATTTTATGATTCAGTTTTTTTCGTATTTTTGGTTTTAGGGGTTGGGAGAGTCTATTATCGTATCTTCTGATAGACATAATCCAGCAACATGTGGATGGATAAAGCTAGAAACTGTTCGCCCCGCTCGGTTACATTTTCTTTTAGAACGTGATGAAGTGCTTATTGCTCCGACTGCCGCTCATCTTGAAGAAGCACTTTCAAAGACGGATCAATTTATTAAGCCAATGGAAAGAAATTTTCCTAAGGTAAGAAATGTTCACCTCTTTTTTCTTAAATACATAAATTCGCTCTAATCACTCAATTTGTTCCACAAATTAGGATTATTTTTGTGCTCTTTATCTTTTTATTTATTACTTCTGTTTCACTCAAGCATGTTTCGTGTCTACCAGTTTACCAGAAATTCTTTTGTTAATCAAAATCACTTAGCAGAGTCTAGTTATTTTTAATTCGTTTGGCCTCGTTTTTTATTTACTGGTATGAGCTTGAAGTTTAACAAATTGATATTATTATTTTGATAGGCTTTTCTCATAAATCCTATATATATTAATGCACCCTCTTAGATGGACCAAGTTCCTGACGAGGATTCGATACCGGAATTACAAATTCCAATGAACTTCACTGAAGCCTCAGAAAATCTCATCGTTCTAACTATCGGTCTAGTTCTCCTTGACACTAGCGGGCGCTCGCTTACTGATTGTCGAAGTCTGAACATTACTATTCGTCCACTTGATCCATCCATAGTAAAGGTTATACCTGGTAAGTGTTGTTCATAATTTATTGCTTTCCTTTACCCATTACTTATTTTTGTATATAACATCCCATTGACTCCCATCTAGGCTTTCTGTC